GATCCAAGTATAGGTTTCGCGTTAGCACTATCAAGTGTTCTGGGAATCCCATTCTTCTCAGAGTCAGCCACAGTTTGTTGTGATCCACACAGTCAGACATCTTTGCATAATCCATGAAACACAGAAAAACATTCCTCTGGTACTCTCTGCTTTCACCCAAGGTCCATCTAAAATTAGCTATTATCTATTCCTAGTACCACAATCCCTTCTAAACCCAGCCTGCACTTCTGGCAGTTCTCTGTTGACGTGCTCTTCTAGTCGTTTTTGGATAATCTTCAGCAGAATCTTGCTTGCATGTGATATCAATGATATTATTTGATAATTTCCACACTCTGTTGGATCATCTTTCTTTGGGATAGGAACAAATCTAGATCTCTTCCAGTCAGTTGGCCAAGTGGTTGTCCTCCAGATTTCTTGACACAACTTGATGAGGACATCTAGGAGAGAATATGTTAGTTGAAATATGTCAATCAGTATACCATCAATTCTTGGGGTTTTACTTTTTTGTCAATTCCTTCAAAGCAGCTTGAACTTCTTCCTTCATCACCATAGTCTCTTGTTAATATGTTGTTTCATGAAATCTTCTGTGTCTGCCAATTCCTTTCGGTACAGTGACTCTGTATATTCTTTCCATCTTATTTTCCCCCCCAATTTATTTATTTATTTATTATTCATTTCAATGAACATCTACAGAGATTTTGGAATTCCATTCATTCATTGTTGCACTTTTCTCCCCACCCCCATCTTCTTTTAATATTTCCTGGATCATTTAATATTCTACCCAAAGCATCCTTGTTTATAGCAACTCAAGGTTTGAATTTGTTCTTCAGTTCCTTGAGCTTAAGAAATACTGAGCGAGTTCGGCCCTGATTCCAGCTCCTTGCACAGTTCATTGCAATATTTTGTCTTTCCACCCTGCCTTAGACCGTCAAAAAAGCAAACAGTTGTGTTTGAAGGAGAGGAGCAAACGGGGGGTGGGGGGGGGGGTGGGCGGGGAGTGGGGTGCAACAATGAATGAATGGAATTCCAAAATCTCTGTAGATGTTCATTGAAATGAAAAATAAAGAAATTAAATTTTAAAAAAAGGCAAACAGATATGTTGCTGGTGTATGGAAGTGTAGTTTTTGTTTATTGACTGTATCCTGAAGTGTAGTTGGCTTTGTGGTAAATGCTGTAGTAATTTCTGTATACACAATCATGTGAGAATAAAAACAGTTCTACTTATTCCTTTCTGATTTTCAGGTATTTTTAACATTGTTGCCTATTGAACTGACTAGGATCCTCAATCTAATGTTAAAAAAGTGTAAGTAGATGTCTTTGTCTAATTTTTAGCATTAGGTGCCAGCATCCATTCTTACACCATTAAATAGGATGCCAGCTATAGGTTTTTCCATCCATGTATTTTATCTTACTGAGAAGTTTCTTTTTATTCCTAGTTTGCTGTGAGTAGCATCATTATGTGCTGGATTTTGTCAGCTGCCTCCTCGGCATCTTTGAGGTGATCATGATTTTTTTTTCTCCCTCCTTTATTTTGTTAATGTGATTTATTACATTAATTCACTCCTTTAATGTTAAATCAACCTTGTATTCTTGTTATAAACCACAGTTGATCATGATAAATGATTCTTTTTATATAATACTATAAGATGCTAATATTTTGCTTTATGAGCGTGAGAAAGACTGGTCTGTGATTTTCCTCTCTCATGAGTCCTGTCAGGGCATTGTTAATTTTGATACATTTACAAACATACATTAAAAAAATAAATAAACATTCTCTGGACTGCCAAAAGAACAAACATCTGTGTCTTGGTGAAAGTGCAGCCAGAGTGATCCTGGGAGGCAAAGATGATCAAGTTTTGTCTCACAAACTTTGGGCATGTTGCTAGAAGAGGCTATTTTTTGGAGAGGAACATGATTTTTGGAAAGGTGGAAGATTGGCGAAAGAGAGGAAGACCCTCAATCAGATGGATTGACACAGTGACTACAGCAAAGGGCTCTAGTGTGTCAGGAAGTGTGAGGACAGCACACACTGAATAGGACGGGGTTCAGATCTGTCGTTCATAGAGTCATTGTGAGCTGTACTCAACAGCACCTAACAACAACAACAGCTCAGTGTTTCGATTCTTGCTTTTTTAAAAAAAATCTCATTCCCCCCCGCCCTTGATATTGTCATTAAGTGTCAATGAGTAAAGTATGGGCTTATTTTTTTTAATTGAAAATAAATTTTTCTTTTATATTGGTTTATGTACAAAGTCTGTATACATTGTTTTTCACACCAAATCTTTATCATTTCCCTTACTCCCTCCTTCCCCCTGCCCATCAAACTGTGCAACCTTATGATTAACTTCCTATCCTCAGATCTCTGCTCCCCTCTGCCCCTTTGAGTATGGGCATTTTTAAAGAAAAACTGACAAGCTAAATATAAAGTCTGTATGGAAAAGAAAAAGGTCCTAATAGAACAATACTAGCCAAGTTTGTAGACGTTATATTACTTTTGAGGCAGCATGAACCCACAAAAAGAAGATAACAGTGTGTGGTGTAAGGACAGACACATAAGTCAATGGCATGAAAGAGAGAATCCAGACATAGGTCAACAGATAGGTCAAGTGATTTTTGACAAAGGCATCAACATAATTCAATGGGTAGGCAAAAATTTCTTGGGACATACACAGCACAAAACACTAGCAAGTAAAAGAGGCAAAAAAGATAAGTTGAACTTTATAATAATTTAAAAACATTTCTTTGAAAAACAACAGAAAGAAAATGAAAAGGCAGGTCACAGATTGTGAGAAAATAGTCACAATATGTGTTAACTGGGGGAAATTTTGCATTTTGAATATATGAAGAAATCTTACAACTCAATAATAGGACAAACAACCTAATTTTTTTGATAAGCAAAGTACACATACAGATGCTTCACAAGAGACAAATGTATGAGAAGAAACTCAACATCTTCAGTCATCAGTGAGATGCACATTAAACCCACAACGAGATACCAATACACACCCTGAAGAATAGCCAAAATAAAAGAACTGTTGTGGCAAGAATGTGGTGCACCAGAATGCTCAGAAATCGCTAGTGGGAGTGTGAAAGCTCATAAAAGTCCTCTGGACTCACACCACAAGAAGATAAAGGAAAACAACCTGATTGCAAAATAGACACAGGATATGAACAGAGACGTGAACAAACACACAAAGAAATGTTCAAAATCTCTAGCTCTCTCATCTAGAGAGATGCATATCAAAACAACTATGAAATAACATCTCACCCCAGTAAGAATAGCAGAGCAGCAAACAACAAATGCTGGCATGGTTGTGGAGAAACGAACTGTTATTCACTGCTGATGGGAGTGTAAAATGGTGCAACCACTATGGAAGGCAGCATGGCGCTTTCTCAAAAAGTTGGGAATAGAAATACTATTTGACTCAGCAATTCCACTACTGGGAATATACCCTAAAGAAACCAGAACTGCCACCCAAGCAGATTTATGCACAACTATGCTTATTGCTGCTTTGTTCACAATAGTAGAGAGTTGGAAACAAGCCAAGGGCTCCTCAGCAAAGGAATGGATAGAGAAGCTCTGGTATATTCACACAATGGAATACTATGCTGCATTGAAAAACAAGGAACTCAGGAATTATCATACAAAATGGGGTGACCCTGGAGGATATTATGTATTGTGAAATATCTCAATCACAAAAGGACAAATACTGAATGACGCCACTGTTATAAAACAAGACTGATATCAGGTTTGGTGGGAAACTAAGAAAAGAGGGGATAAATAATGTATACTGCACTGAAATAGATGAGGGAGAGAACTGTTTACAAGCGATAGATGATTAGGTTTTGTTTGCACGGCAAGAGTCCAGAATAAGAGGTGCATAGTAAAGTGGACTGTGGGGAGGGGGAATGGTATAACAATAAACTATATAAATAAATAAAAAAGTCCTCTGGAAAACAATTTGGCAATTTTATGCAATGATATACATATAGTTATTATACAACCACTCAGTTGCTAACCAAAAGGTTGGTAGTTTGAACTCACCAACTGCTTCATGGAAGAAAGATGAGGCAGTGGCTTCTGTAAAGATTACAGACTCGGAAAGTCCGTAGAGGAATTCTTCTCTGTCCTAAAGGGGCCACTCTGCTGCGTGAGCATGAAACCAGCAATTCCACAGTTAGGAATTCAAGAGAAGTGAAAATGTATTTCTACCAAAAAACATGTACAGAAATGTTCACAGTCCCTAAATGGAAACAATTCGCATGACCATCAGCATGTGAACAGATAAGCAAATTGCGGTATATGCATCTAACAGAATACTGTTGGAAAAGAAAAATCCTCAAGATCTGACATCTACAACATGGATGAATCTTTAAATCATGTTGAATCTCAAAATCATTATATTGAGAGAAAGAAGTCAGACACAAAATAGCATACTTCTATGTATATGAAATACATACGTACAATACATATATACAGTAGGCAAAGTCATCCAAAGTTAAAGAAATCAGATCCATGAACTGACTGGAAGGGAGCTGGAAGGAATTTTCTGGAATCATAGGAAAGTTATTGCTCTTTATTGAGGTGTGATTTTGTGAGGATACATTTATTAAAATTGGTCAAATTTTACACTTAAGTATGTTTTGTAAAATGTAAATGAAATCTAGTGGGAAAATATTAGAAATAACTGGAAGGATAATTTATCAATAAACTATTGATAGCCATTGTTTCTTTGGAGAGGAAAGACTGGGAATATTGTTTGGGAGAAGGGCTACGTTTTATTGAACACACTGTATGCTGTTAGCATTTTATACTGAGCAATTGCATTGAGTTCACATATTTCACTAGGTATATGCATTACTTCTTCAAAATTACAAATCGAGAAAGCCCCACCAAACATACAATAGGGCTATGGATCTGTAGCTGGATGCAAAAACAGAGAACAGGCTGTACAGCAAAAGTTAGAGAATATTCAAGACAAAGGAGACCTTATACTCACAAGACAGAAATAATGCACGCTGAGATTGTCTTTCTGAAGAAATTCCCCTAACTTTTCAGGATCGCCAGGTTCTTGAAGGCAGAGTCGACAAACTGGAAAAGATCATGTTAAGAGTTAACTACAGGTTTCACTCAAGTTGACCATTAGGATGGAAAAAAAAAAAGAGTGGGAACACAATCCTCTCTCTAAGAACAGGAAGGCATAGAGAATGGAGAAGAGGTTCATTTTGGCAGAATCGAGATTGGGAGGAAGTGTAATTATTTGGCATGAGTAAGCTCATTTTGGTCACAATAAAGGAATTGGCTGCAACTGCTCATATTTTTTCCTTTAAGTAGCTTCCTTTTTAAGGGAATTCAAGTATTGTACTGGGAAAGTCTATAGCCCGAGACCTCTCCAAATTATTGAAGAGCAAGGATATAAATTTGAGGACTAAGGTGTGCCTGCTTCAGGCCCTGGTCTTTTCAATCATTTGCTATGCATCTGAGAGCTGGACAATAAGGATGACAGAAGAATAACTGAAATGTGATGTTGGAGAAGAGTACTGAATATCCCATGGGCTGCCCCAAACCCAGATATGTCTTGGAGAAGGTGCAGCCAGAGTGCTCCATAGAGGCAAAGATGATAAAGCTTCACCTCACACACTTCGGGTATATTAGGAAAGGTTATTCCTTGATGAGGGACATAATGCTTGGAAAGGTCAGTGAAGGAGAGGAAGACCCTCAACCACAATGACTGCAGCAATGGGCTAGCGTTTGTCACAGATTGTGAGGATGGCGCAGGATAGAACAGGGTTCAGATCTGTTGTTCATAGAGTCACTATGAATCGTGCTTGATTCAATGGCACCTACCAGCAACAGTGGCCAAGTGAGGAAGTAGTTATGCTGTCAACCCAAAGGCAGACTGTTTGAATTCACCAGTTGCTCTGAAGGAGAAAGATAAGCAATCTCCTCCATGTGCTTTACATCCTCTGAGAACCTATTAGACCGTCAGCTACAAGTCTGTTCTTACTTGACGGCACATAACAACAACAGCTGAATTTTGAGCATGACATTAAAAAATTAGGGGAATTTAAAAAAACCTTATTGAGCATCTTGAAGAACCCAGGAAGGGAGTGGGGTTGACAGAGAGAGAAGTTTGCTACCCTACACAGGCAGCTCTCTTGGATGAGGTGGACTCGAGGGTTGAGCAGAAGCTCCAGTCCTTCTTACCAGGCCTGGAAGATGACTTCCTCTGAGCGGCTCTCCTAGTCTTGGCAGATTGTCTATTCAAGAGAAGGAAGATGGAAAAATTGATCTTTGAGAACCTTGTTGGCTTCCTTTGTAACATTTTCCTCAAAATATCATCCATGGGTCTGATATAGGACCGAAATAAAGATAACATCAGTTTCTTTCATAGTTTTTTTTTTTATTAAACCTCCACAAAAAAACATCACTACTAAGTTAGCTGAACATTGGGACCATATGCCCAGGCGTGTAAGTGCTCACTTTGCTGACTGAATGAACAGGCCTCCTTTTTAATCATTTCTTCTGCCATGTACTCAGCATCTCAGGTTGCATCCACTTCACAGTGTACTCAAGATTAACCTTGGCTTGAGCGTGTCCTGTTTTGCTATGTATTATTCTCAGCATTTTACTTGTATTAACTCATTGAACAACAACAAAACTTAATGAAATCTACAGAGCACTCAGTTATTACACACATTTTCTAAATAAGAAACTGAAGCACAAAGAAACGGAGTCTTTTGTCCCAGGTCACATAGTTAACAAGTATCAGAGCCAGGAAAATCCTAGCTCCACTGTTGCACTGCAGCCCTAGTTCTTGCTAAGGACTGTCTTAGGTATTGGTTACTGGGCAGCTGCTTCCAGGGTTAGTCAAAGATGCTTCTATACTGTCTGTCTCCAGTCTTCAATGCCATGCCAAAGAGGGCAAAAAACCCTTAGCATATAACTACAGGTCACTGAACAATTTGTCCCAAACTCCCTTATATAGCCTGTTGTTGTTGTGTACTGATGAGTCGAAATGGACCCATACCTGACCCGCAAGCAAGAAGATTGCCCATCTGTCTCCCAGGGAGCAGCTGGTGGATTTGAACTGCTTGCCTTTGGGATTGCAGCGCAGCTTCTTACCACTAGGCCACCAGAGTTCCCATAGCCTACTCTACCTCCATCTTTGGTGGTCCTTCTTCTTTTCTTTTGTAGTCTTCATTCGTTGCTGCCTTGTTCTCCTGTCTTAAGTTCTTGTATACAATTACGATACAGGCTCTTCCAGCTATAAATATAAACAGGGTTCAGGCAGCAATATAATTGCATATGTGACTAGCAAGTTCTATGGGTTCAAAGCAACAGTGTTGTTCACCTCTTAACCCAAGCAACAGAGTGATCTGCTCAGTGTCAAAGCTAACAGCTAATAAATATTAAATCATGTAAAAAAAAAAAAGCCCAACCAGTTTCAGGTGCTTTTACAAAAAACCTTTGCAGTTGCTATCTATGTTATTACTCTCATTTTTAAGATGAGAAACTGATAACATAGATCCAAGATCCTAGTAATTAATGCAAGTGGAAACTGAACCCAAGTAGCCTGGTTCTAGAGACTAGCATTGATTACCATGTTATACTGTTATAAGTACTGTTATACAGCAGTATAAGAATTTGGGACCACTGCTTGATGGCGCTCAATGGTTCTTTGCTAAGTTGTTGTGTTAGGTGCCAACAAGTCAACCATGACTCACAGCAATGCTATGAACAACCGACCACAGTGACCCTATGACAACCAGGCAAATGCTTCCTAGAAAGTTATGCTGCTTAGAGAGGTTCACTAATGGAGGATGTAGCATGTGGGGGGAGGGGGAAGAAAAACAAATCTCCTTTTGTCCCCAAATATGGTGCCTTAATTCTACCCACTATAAATTCTCTAGGATTGGGGCTGACCAAGGCATCCAATAAGGAAGGCAAGCACTCCCCCTAGTGAAAGACACATCCCACTGGCGAAGTCAATTTCTAGACCCCATCTGGTCCAGTATTTCTAAGAAGAGCTGAGAAAATCGGAGCAGTACCCTCATTCTCAGGTCATCGATGTGAGAATATTAATATCTTCAGGCACTTTCACGAATACAACTACTAACACAATTGTTCTATGAGTCAATTGGAATTGACTCACAGCTGAACCTCCAGCAGGTTTTCAGAGGCAGTGAAATCACGTGGGAGGAGATTGCCCGTCTTTCTCCCATGAAGCAGCTGGTGGATTCGAACTAGAAGCCTTTCAGATGGCTGCGCAGCTCCTTATCACTAAGCCACTAGAGAGCTCCCCACACTTTGAAAATCTAGACTCTGCCTTTCCTCTTTGTTTGTCCAACCTCCTCTCCCAAGCTGCAGATGCAGAAACCATCATGTTGACACTCGTTTCTCAACAGGCTGGAAGAGGAGCGAGAAGGGCACATGCACGCACTGCGCCCTTCTCGGGTGGGATCCACTCTAGCAGTCCCTAGTTCTCGGGGATACATCGCGACCCGCTAGCAACAGAAAGAAAACCTTGACACTTCAAGTCTTTGCATAGCTGGACCAAGACGTTCCTTGAGAAGGTTTCCGCGGTTCCAGAAGCTGGACCGATCTTCAGAACATGTGCTCTGGGACACTGCAAAAACTGGTTTCCCACAAGGCGCTCAGTCCGCGATTTCCTAACCCGGAGGATGCTCCCTAGAAAGTTACCACGTTGTTTCCACTAGATATAAACGCTGGGTAAACTCATGTGGAAAATGAAAAAGGAAAATAAATAAATAAACAAACGTGTTCGGCCCAGCCGCCGCGAGAGTAATAAACAATGATCTAGTTGGAAAGTACGTCTCGGTGTGGCCACAGCGGTCCCCCTGGAGGTAACGGCCAGCAAAGGGGCTCAAGGAGCATCCTGCGGGTGCGGGGCGAGGCTCATGTCCTGCCTGCCGGGCTGCGGGTTCGCCTCCGCCGCTCCTTTCTCACGGTGGCGCACGGGCCGCCGCTCCCGGGCCACCCTCCCAGCTGTCGCTGAGAGGGCCAGAGGGGGCCGCTGTCCAGGAGTTTTACTCGTTGTCAAAAGCCGTGGTAGCTATTTCACGGGCGGCCGCCCCGCGCGGTGACTGCGCTGGTGAGTGGGGAGAGCGCGTTAACGGGGCCCGGGTCACGGGGATGACGACCCACGGGAACTGGCAGCGTCGGGGACGCTGGCCGTTGGTGAAACTGGACCGCTAACCGCCACGCGCCACCATTGTCCAACCCTTTTCTTTAGCTCCGCCCCTTGCTAATCCCGCCCCTCGCAGGCCCCCAGCAGGTCCCGCCCCGGACAGGCCCCGCCCCCTCCCACCAGCCTCGCCCCGCCTCTTCCCCGCGCGGGCGCGCCCGCCGCCGAGCTCGTGCTCGTAGCTAAGGTCGCACGGCCGGAAGAGGAAAGCAGGGGCGGGGCCGAGGCCGTCGCGCCGTGGTGACGTAATGCCGCCGGCGCGGGCTGGTGACGCGGCGGGGCCCGTTGTCTGAGTGGGGCTGAGGGGCCCCGGGCATCAGGGGCTCCCGGCGGGGGCGGCGGTGGGTCGGGAGGGCCTGGACATGGCGCTGAGGGGCTGTCCCGCGGGAAGATGAATAAGGGCTGGCTGGAGCTGGAGAGCGACCCGGGTAAGGAGGGTGCTGGCGGGCTGGGAGTTGGAGAGGCCACGGGTGGGCCCGCGGGCAGGCTCATTCCCTCGGGGACGCGCCTGGCTGACCCCTCTGATCTTGTTCACCCCACTCAGGCCTCTTCACCCTCCTGGTGGAAGATTTCGGTGAGTATGAGCCCCTCTTACCCGCCGGACCTGGGCTGTCGATGCCCATCCCTGGACCCTTTTTGCTCCTGGAACAGAGGCCACACTCCTACCGCTTCACTTTCCTGTTCGCAGGTGTCAAAGGGGTGCAGGTAGAGGAGATCTATGACCTTCAGAGCAAATGTCAGGGGTAAGTGGTTTCCTTTGCACCAGAGCCTCCTTTTACAGCCTGAGGAAGTGCCCCAGGAACAGGTTCAGTGGCAGGAACACCTGGTTGTAAAGAAAACATTCCTTCTCTGGAGTACCCCTCCTGCCGAGCAAACTATGTTTTTATTTTATCCCAACATTCCCTTAGTGCTTCCTTTGTTGTGCTCCCTTCTCCAAATCCCGACTGTCCTTTAGGAATAGCGTTCAGATACCTTTCCTGGTCTTGGAGCGAGATGCCCTTTTCTCTCCATTAAGGCCACAGATTACTTTTTTGCTGTTTTCATTTAGCTAATTAAAGCTTTAACATTCCCGTTTGTGCTTGTAGCTTTAATCCCTGCAGAGTCTTGTAGCGCTTGGTTTAACATGTAACATTTGACGTGGCTTCTTCTGGGTGGTCTTGCTCATGTTCTTGCCCTGATGGTCTCATGGAAAGAAGTGTGAGGAGAAAGCCGCAGTGACAGACAAGACACCTGAATTTTGTTTCCAAGGGAATCAGGGACTGTGTGTGTGTGTGTGTGTGTGTGTGCGCGCGCGCGCGCTCTCCTTTACTTCTCTGGCAGAATTAGGACCCAGTGCTTGGGATCCATAAGTAAGAGTTAGTGTTTAAATTCCTCATTAGAGTTTTTGTTCTTACTCTACCTTGTAGAGGGACGTCACACTTGGGAGGGTGGAGGGACAGTGCAGGAGAGGAAGACCTTTGATGTGATGGGTTGATTTCGTCACTGGGGTAATGGGGATAGGCTTGTCGGAGACCATGAGGTTGGCAAGGGATAGAGCAGGGTTTAGGGCTGCTGCACGTCGGGTCACTATGAGTTGCAAGCAACTCAATGGCACATAACAACAACTGCCTTATATTCCTGATCTGGGGCCATTGGTTCTAGCTTTTCTGCTGTTATCTAGCTATCTTAGGCTCTAGGTACCAGGTTGCTCTTGACAGGACAGGATAATGAAACTTCCATCTCCTTTGGCAACTTTGACCTTGTTGTCAGAAGGGGAGGGGCCAGTCCTTGGAAAAAAGACATCATGCTGGGAAAGGTGAAGGGTACAGAAGGAGAGGAAGACCCTCAACAAGATGAAATGTATGACACAGTTACTGTAAGGCTTGAGCAACATTGGAGCTTTCGAGGATAGCGCAAGATAGGGCATGATTCTGCCCTGTTTTTCATGGGGTCACTTGATGGCGCATAACAAGATTATCAACAGTTGTAAGGAGCCTGGGTGGCCTCCTGGAACGTCACAACCAGAAGGTGGTGCTTGGCTCTGCCTGAAGTAGATCTCTGAGACGTGAGCACTCAGGACTACCTTAAGGATACAGTGTTGGGACAGAAGTGGGGCCAAGGTAGAAACATGTTAGTGGGAACACAGGAAGAGAAAAAGGAATATTGATTGCCATCTGTGTCCTTGATTCATTTCGTTCTGCCCTTTGCTTTCCCCAGCCCCGTATATGGGTTCATCTTCCTGTTCAAATGGATCGAAGAGCGCCGTTCCCGTCGCAAAGTCTCCACTTTGGTGGATGATACATCTGTAATTGATGATGAGATCGTGAATAACATGTTCTTTGCTCACCAGGTCTGCTGGGCTCTGCTCTGTCTGGAGGGTGGCATGCTGCCATTTTCTTTGCTTGGGAAGTGGAAATGGGGGAGGGCAGTAGAAAATAGTAGGCACATAGGAACAGTGATAGTTGCAGAAACCCCTGGGAAAAAGTACTAAGCTCTTACTCACTAGCCTAAGAGCACCTTAGACAAGTTGGTGTTGGAGTTGTTCCCCTCTCTCTTCACTCGCTAGATACCTCATGGGTGTTTCAAACAACAACATTATTGCTGTCAAATCAGATCCACTTCTAGCTGAACCTCCAGTGGGTTTTCAGAGGCAGTAAATTGTATGGGAAGGCACTGCCCATCTTTCTCTTGTGGAGCCCCTGATGGTTTTGAACTGCCTTCCTTTGGGTTGACAGCACAAAACACCTCACCTGCTAGGCCACCAGAGCTCCCTGGTAGAATTTAGTGTGTATTGAATGAGTAAATACTGAGTCAAGAGAGAAGGGCTTATAAGAGTTGTCTGTACGTGACTATCTTTCTTTGACTCCTCATTCCCAGTGAGTTGGGCTTGAGGGAATTTGGGGAGAGGGGTGCTGTATATTGAGTGATCGTCGTGGTTTCACAGCTGATCCCCAACTCTTGTGCTACTCACGCCCTGCTGAGTGTGCTCCTGAACTGCAGCAGCGTGGACCTGGGGCCCACCCTGAGTCGCATGAAGGACTTCACCAAAGGGTTCAGCCCTGAGGTAAGCTGTGGCCCCT